GGGAAAAAACCGTCTGTGCTAGTGGTGCTAGTAAGAGCAGACACCGCTAGCACCTGGGGGGGGCTCCATCTATTGGTGGGGAGCAGCACCTGCTGGAAACCGGGTCCAGCGGCGGGCTTAATACATTCTCCTTCCTCTTTCCTAGGGTAGCTATGAAGTTCCAAGTCCCTCTAGCATGTCCCCTTGGAAACGCCGTTTCCCCAAGAGTGCCAGTCGGGCCTCATCGGAGCATTACGCGTGATTCTAGTTTTTGGACTCTTTTCCTACCCTCGCATCAAGCTCACCATTGGGTAGGTACGTTGTGGCGGTCTGGGATTCCCATCTTGCGTTAGAACCACTGTTATTGGTGGGAGGTATTATTAGCCCGTCTTTTGATATTAACCTCTCTCTCCTTCAATAGAGCCCAGGTTTCTGCCGCCCAACTTCTTGTTGGTGAACCTTTTAACTACCTCTATCCTCTGGTCTGGTGTGGCTTGGATCTGTGCAATGAATCTGTGTCCGACCTAACCTATACCTACCGGCATTTTTTGGCCCCTGGAACATCATGACCTACTGAAAGCTACCGGACAAGGCCTCTACCTGAGTTACGAGAGAATTGAACTGGGTCCCTACCAAATTCTACTTGTGTCCTTGTCCGCCTGACGACTTCCTACGAATTCATCCAACATCCAGTTCCAGTCCCACCCCTTCAACTATATCAATTTACTATTCTACCCCTCTCGTGCACACAATCAGAGTTGGCACACGGACAACAGTCACACTCAGCATGCATCAGATAAGACTCTCGGACACAGGGAACACAACAAAAAAGACTCAACACTTGGAAACGACAGGTCCACAGCAAATCAGGCAAACAGATAAGCACACAGGCATACATACATCATCAGCAGGCGAACTCTGAAAACACAGCAAAACAGACTCTCAGTTGTTTGGCACCTCATCATCTTCAGGTGCTTACACAGTAATGTCGAGGCACCGAACGAAAAATGTGTCGGTGCGGACAACGGACAGATCGACAGAAACTCGGAGAACTGTTGACAGTCATGGGTCATCGGAGGAGGCAGTCGCCATGACTGCAAGCACACATTCTGACTTAAGAGACGTTCGGTCGAAACCTACGCACGGTAGCTTTGCACCGCTGGTGTTTCAGCCAAGCACGATTGCCAATCGTGCGAACCAACGCTTCCTCTCGTACCGGATTGGGTTTCCATTGCGACGACGGTGCATCAGTAGCGCACAACTAACCTGCCTTGTGACGGTCTAATCCCGGCCACGGGTTATGGGAGGTCCACTCTTGCTCTGTGTCAACAAAGTTATCTTCTTTGCATTACCTTTCCCTTTGTAAGCAGTAGAATGGCCTTGTCGTCAAAATCTGTTGAAATTTGGCCCTTTGTTCCAAAGGTTTTCATCATTTCAAACAAAAAAAAAAGGATCAAAGGTCAGAAACCATCCCAGCAAAGAGCAGATTTGTCAGAGTCAGTCAGACTGAAAACTGCGCCAGTCATCACAGCTTGAATGATTGCAAGTGTGAGTCTTGTCTGCTTTCTTGCTGGCATGCCAGCAAGATAACATGTGTCGCCAATGTTTCGAGAAAGCTGTTGTCGCGAGTATGCGACTTGACCGTGTGGATTATCCACAATGCGACACCCGAACTAGTCCTGTCTTGTCTGCAGGAGTTGTCAATTACCATAGGCAATGGCTGCCCTTCAGCTTATGTTGCTCAGCAATCTGAGCCCTGACTGATCTCCTGTGTCAGTCCCTAGTAGTCTGCTCCGCCAATAAGTGTCGAGGACCCAAAATGAGGTTCCTCTTCTCCTGCTCTTCTCCTCCCTCCCTCTTGGCCCCTCCTTTCCTCCCCTTCGCACCCCATTCCTCCCCCCTGTGTAGAACTACCAAACACATACAGGTGACCATAACTAAGAGAACAGAAAATATACAATGCGGGTGGGGTGCCGTGAAAGGCAAACGCATGTGTACGCATCCCACGTTCAATTACACAGACATGGTGGGCCTTGCCCCTTTCAGAATACAATAATGAAACGGGCCCTGTCCCTTTCAGAATACAAAAATGAAATAGCCATTTCGGGAAAACATTACATTTATCAACGTTAAATCATTTCAAATATAAGATATCCCAAATACTCCTACAAAAAATTGTGGGCCTCGTGTAACCATCCCACAGAAGATGCTGCTGCCTGCGTTGGCAAATCCGTGGTGGAAAGCAGGCGGGCCTAACGCAATATGTGACGGTTGCAGCAATGCAGCCAGATTCATCCAGGTCCGGCCCTACCCCATGGTGTACCCAACAGCCCGCATAGTGCCATCCAGTACAAGCCAGGAGCACCAATCCGCACGGAGCCCACAAAAAGAGAAAAGGTCTCACAGTTGTTTCCGTACTTCCTCTATGTAGGATTTGAGCTCAGATCTGCATATCAGCAGTTGATGGGCGTAGCATTTGGCCACATGGGCGCAGCTTTTCCTTGGTTTTTTTTTCCCCCTTTGTTTTTTTTGGGGGGGGTGCATCACCCACTCCACATAACATCTACTCTACACTGTACCCAACAGCCCACATAGTCCCATCCGATCCACATACTACGACACACTCCACGTAGTAGTACCGACAACATACTATCACCTTGGCCACATAGGACTGCCCAGTCGACATCGTATGACCTGCACCACATAGTGTCACCCAGCCCAGTCTACTTAGTACCATCCAGGCCACATAATACCGCTCTGTCCACACACTATGATCCTCTCCATGTAGTAGTGCAGACAACAAACTATTACCTTGGCCACATAGGACCGCCCAGTCGACATAGTATGACCTACACCACATAGTATCATCCAATCTACTTAGTACCAGCATGGTACCAGCAAGTCCACATGGCATGCTCCGTCCCACACAGTATGCCCCAACCCACATAGTACCACCCGGGCCACATAATACCGCTCAGCCCACGTAATGCTGGCTGGCCGTCACAAGCGCCAAATCGTGCCTGATGTTGGCCATCTGTCTTTCTTTTTGTGAGTGCGTCTTTGTCTTTCTTTTTGTGAGTGTGTGGGAGTGTGCGCGTTAGCACCATTCAGTCCACACAGTATGGCCTGCCCTGCATGGTGCCGCACAGTCGAATGGTACCATTTGTCTGTTAAAAACTTAAGAGTCAAGACCATCCACTCCGCATGACCTGCCCTGCAAGATGCCACCCACTCCACATGATACCGGCCAGTCCGCATAGTCACCCACTCCGCATGACCTGCCCTGCAAGATGCCACCCACTCCACATGATACCGCCCGGTCCGCATAGTCACCCACGCCGCATGATACCGCCCAACCCAAGGCCATTTGTTTTTTCTGGATAGCATGGTTGGGAGCAGGAGCAGGTGTGCGCACACGCATCCGCTTGTAACTTGATTAGGACTATAAGGCAAGGCTGTTTCGCTTTTGGAGCTACGCTCTGGGCAGAAAAGGGGTCATTCTGGTGACAGTCCACACACACACACACCCAAATATATATATATATATATATATATATATATATATATATATATATATATCGTCACAAACAGAACTGCCCGGTAAACCGTAGGCAGAGAGAGAGAAGAGGACAACAACTCTGCCTCTTTTTATAACATGCAAGTGGGCCATAAAGACACACAGGGATGTGGGCAGCTGGCGCTCAACCATCATCAACGTGGTCAGTCTTGTACGTGATAGGCACAGTAAGAAGGTAACTACAAAAACAAAGAAAATGGGAGGTCTCCCAATGCTACTAGCTGATGAAAATATAATCAAGAAAACGATATAACGAATTTATTGTGTCTCGTATTGTTTTTGCTGCTCGGATGGGCCTGTGTGGCATTGCTTGTGTAAAGGTGAGATTCCTTGCACTGCTTGTGTAAAGGTGAGGTTCCAAATAAATATTGACTTCACAAGCAAAACAATTTCATTGGTGAATTGGCTCATCTTGAGAATGCTTCACTGTCTGCAATACAGGAAAAGTTGCTATGACTTTGGATCTACTCATCTGGGTGGAATAGGGGAAGAAGTTGTGGTGATATTTTATAACACACACACACACACACACACACACACACTGGTGATATTTTATAACACACACACACACACACACACACACACACACACACACACATATTCATTCTCCCCCTTCTTTTCATCAACAAAAGGAGGCAGCAATTCAGAAGCACATTCTCTTGGGACACACCATAAGACATGAAATGCACATATCCACATGCTATGCTGATGCCGTGCTTCCCCACCACACACTGGCCAGATGCTCAGGGAGAAAAATCTCATTTCAACTTCCATGCACCCTGATGGGGCACTCAAAAATGGAGGTGCTGGCACTTCTGGATACTCAAAGGCCAAGCGGTCAAGCTTTCAAAGCTCATGGAAACTGCCTCCAGCACCCAACCGGCAAAACGCTCTGAGCGCTTGATGGGACAAATTCAAGGCAAGGAAGTTCGAGGTAACCTTAAGGAAAGCAACGTGAACGAGTTCAGGCGATCGATCGCCTAGAAAAAAAGCCAAGTTGTGTCGGTCACATCAGAACACAACACCCGGTAGACAAGATCAGGGGATGAAAACAACGCACACACACGACAAACCAAACATTTTTGGCACAACAATGACAAAAGCCAGATCACAATCGCCATAGATAGAGGATAAAACGCGTGCAACCTGCGGACTGATAGCATTCATGAATCACATTTCACCATGAGATCCTGGCGTAGTCCCATACTTGAGGCCCTCTCTATCATCTTCTTTCTACTTTTAAAACTTTGGGACCGTATTCTCTTGCAGTGTTGCACACATGAAAAACACATGGAGGACAGGTCAGACGGCTGGCACAAGAATGAAACCAATGGCCAGCAAAAAAAACTCACTAAGAAATCATGAATTGCAGTGAAGACTAAATACTAATTACAACTCACAAAACAAATATGAATGAACCTTCACAAAATGCCTCTTCCATTAGAAGAAGAATGCAGACACTAGGTAGGACACGGCATACGAGCACGTGGTACACACAAGGAATGGGGCATAGGGAAACTGTGGGGCCTGCATAGAAGCAGCAAACAATGACGACAAGGCAGCGCCTACAAACCAGCAAACAGTGCCACACGCCGAACAACTCCTGATCACTGTGCCAAGTGCCAGCTGGGCCCATGAGGCAGGCACTACCGTAGAAGTCAGCCTGTGGAAGCCACATACTGTATGCATCCACGGTTGCATCTACGAATCACCTGAGCATTCACTCCCATGCGCCTTTTTCTTGTTGGGACCACCACCACCAAAGTCGGGACGGACTCTCCTGCTCTCCCCGACAAGATAACAACGGCCCACCAAAACGGGGTTGCCAGCTATCGGCAGCTGTCACTACAACATGTCTTCCCTCTCCCTCATCAATCAGACGGCAATGTCGAAACACCCCCAAAGCAGCAGCAATCACACAACGAGACAGATACACAAGTGGAGACGCGCCTAAGCAGCAGAGATCAGTCACGCACAACTGCCACAGCTTCAATCGACAGATCAGGTCGTCGCAGCGCCGTGACCGTAACCTGGAGACGAGTCGTCGTCGGCACCTTGTTGTGTCCTGGAAGGGCCGAGCACGACCACCATCCCATGCCCTGCATGCGTGGCCCCACCTATCCCGTTTCCAGGTGCAGCTCCCCCGTCGCTGGTCCCCCCCCTGCCATTACCCCCACCACCTAGGTTGGTTACAACTACCCTCCCACTCGAGCCAGCCCCGCTGTTACAGTACCCCTTCGTAGGGTCCCATTTAGCAAGATCTCTGGGGGTGTCCAGGTCCTCCTGCACACACCGCTGCAGCGGGTGTGTCAAAAGGAGGCACATGTGCTTGAACAGAGTTCTGGGAAGACCATTTGAGCTCTCAAAGATGTACGCAGTATCCGAATTGCTGACCAATTCGATTTTCTCAACGAGAGCATCGAACACCTGCTGCGGACGGTTGTTGGGCTTCGGTTTGTCGTGCAGGTAAATTGCATCACACATGAAATGCCTGCTTCCTCTGGACCATGAACCCTCCATGTCGGGCACAACGGCAGACCGGCAGTATATCAGAATCTGCACAACCATAACAAGTACCAAAACACAGAGGATTAATAATCTTCTACCGGACAGCAGCAATAACTTGAGGCTCGCGATACCAACGGGCCTATAGCTCAGTTGGTACACCCACCCATGAACTGTTGACATACAGACAGACCCAAGTTGAAATCCACAGCTGCAATCAAATGAACTATATATATTGTCACATAACTATGGACTAAAAGAGCTCACTTGCGAAACAAAAATAGCATGACTCATCGTCCCACCATCCCACAGTTCCCACTGGGCAGCTGCACGAACGAGTGCCATATAATGCCCGGGTCTGTGTAAAATGCAGGCAAAAAATATGAGGATGGTTATTGAGGTCCTCGCCTGGCGTCGCATGATGCATAAGAAGGTGGCGTCGCATGTAAATAGCTAGTTGTAAGACATTTACAGTAAAGCCTCCTGAGGTAGTATAATTTACTACCTTCAGGAGGTGGACCATTATATTCATACAACAACTGATTTTCAACAGCGTCAAGCTGATAAGCAATCGTAACAAAACGGGAAGCAGTATAACATTGACACCGATAAGCCTGTAGGCAGACATTTGTGACTGTCAAACCACACATATTTGATAGGTCTGCCTGCAGATCCGAATCGGTCACCACTGGAAAGCCAGATCTGATCTGGCGGGGTCGGCGCATAAATGACGAACGCTGTCGACGTGGTAGAGTAGGCTGCCGGTAAGACAAAGAACCCCGCAGATTACCATCAATACGACGCCGAGAAGGAGGGGGACTGGGAGGAGGGGAGAATGAACGAGCCTGCCAACGTCCCAATATGGACAACGAAGATAAGGGAGGGTCAGGTCTCAGCCAGCGTGGGGAAGAAGAAGAAGATGAAGAAGAAGAAGAAGAAGAAGAAGAAGAAGAAGAAGAGGAAGAAGAAGAAGAAGAAGAAGAAGAAAAGAAGAAGAAGAAGAAGAAGAAGAAGAAGAAGAAGAAGGAGGAGGAGGAGGAGGAGATGACAAAGAAGAAGAGGATGCAGGCAATGAGCGAGGAGAAGGAGAGGGAGGGGGAGAGGGAGAGGAAGGCAGAGGGGAAGCGGAAGGGGAAGGAGGGGGAGAAGAAGGGAGAGGTGGAGAGGAGGGGGGAGGGAGAGGAGGGGAAGA